GACGTGGTGGTTGCACAACACTGTGAATGTACTAGATACAACTGAATTCTACACTTTAAAGTGGTTAATTTTATGTTACATGAATTTCACCTTAAGAAAAATATACCATTACCTCACCTGAAATGTATTCAATTATCAGAGTCCTCTCTATTCTCCAATGATATTAAAATAGCAACTAAGCATCAAATGTTTAAAAAAAAAAAACCTTACGGGAGCTGTTAGTTTCCTAGGCCTGCCATAACAAAATACCGCAGACCGCGTGGCTTAAAGCAACAGAAATTTATTTTCTCACAGTTCTGGAGGCTAGAAGTCCACGATCGAGGTGTCAGCAGGTTTGGTTTCTCCCGAGGCCTCTCTCCTTGGCTCACAGACGGCCATCTTCCAGCTGCGTCCTCTCACAGCTTTTCCCCTGTGCTGGTGCCTCCCTGGCATATCTTTCTCTTCTTGAAAGGTCACCATCAGAATGGATTAGAGCCCCACCCTTATGACCTCTTGTAACCTTGGTGACCTCTTTAAAGGCCCTGCTCCAAATATAATCACCACAGCTTAGAGCTTCAACATATGACATTTGGGCGAACACAATTCAGGCCATAAGAGGCGCCAGTAAGACAACATCAGTGAGCCAGATTCACACGTCCTCTGCCTGCAAGTTTTTTCCTAAATTAATATTTAAATTTAAATAATTTCAATCAAAATCCAACAGGCTTTTTGTTGATGATACTGTTGGAACTGGACAAAAATTATCGTAAAGTTCACCTGGAATGACAAACACGTGAAGCATTCACAAATTATTTTTAAAGAAAACTAACAAAAGGGAATTTGCTCTATGAGATATTAATGTGCATTATAAAAGTATGACAATAAAAATACGATGGTACAGACACCAGAACAGATTATTTTTTCTTGATGAAACAGAACTAAAATGTCCAGAAATAGACTCAAGTATGTATTTGAGAGTGGTATATGCAAAAGCTGGTATTTTAAATAGATGGAAAAATAATTACTTTTTTTCAAAAGGAATGACGTTGTAATATCCAGCTAATGTTTTAAAAGTAAGACTAGATTAGATTCCTATCTCATATCATGTACCAAAATAAAATGCAGACAGATTAAATCTTTAAAGGTTTAAAAAGTATACACATGCACGCATACACAAGTGTGCTACATAAAAAAGTCCTACAAATCAATAAAAGACAATCCATGATAAAAATGGACAAAAGATGTGAACAGGCACTTCATAAAAAAGGATATCCAAGTGGCCAATAAGCACCTGTATAGGTGCTCACCACCATTAGTCATAAGGGAAACAGAAATAAAAACCCCAGGGCCAGCCCCGTGGTGCAGCGGTAGTTAAGTGCACACGTTCTGCTCTGGCAGCCCGGGGTTGGCCGGTTCGGATCCCGGGTGCAGACATGGCACTGCTTGGCAGGCCATGCTGTGGCAGGCATCCCATGTATAAAATAGAGGAAGATGGGCATGGATGTTAGCTCAGGGCCAGTCCTCCTCAGCAAAAAGAGGAAGATTGGCAGCAGATGTTCAGAGCTAATCTTCCTCAAAAAATAAATTAATTAATTAATTAATTAAATAAATAAATAAAAACCCCAATTGAGAACCAACACACCAGAATAGCCAACAGTAACAGTCAAGCATGTAAAGCAGCTTGAACTCTTTTATACATTGCTGGTGAGAGTGTAAACTGGTACTACCATTTTGGAAAACTGTCTGACAGTATTTCCTAGCATGAGCCTACGCTGTGATCCAGGAACCCCACGATCTGGTATATCCTAAAAGAAATGAACACTAATATCCACCAAAAGACATGTACAAGAAAGGATTTAATAGTTCCAAGATGTAACCAATCCAATGTCAATCAGGATCAGAATTGATAATAGTTTGTGGTAAAAATACAACAGAATGCCGCACAGCGGTGGAAAATAATTATCTACTCTAACATGTAAGAACATGGATGAGGGTCCGGCCCCGTGGCTGTGCAGTTGAGTTCGCATGCTCTGCTTCGGTGGCCCAGGGTTTCTCAGGTTCAGATCCTGGGTGCGGACATGGCACCACTCATCAAGCCATCTGAGGCAGCGTCCCACATGCCACAACTAGAAGGACCCACAACTAAAAACATACAACTATGTACCAGGGGGCTTTGGGGAGAAAAAAGAAAAATAAAATCTTTTTTTTTTTTAGGAAGATTAGCCCTGAGCTAACATCTGCTGCCAATCCTCCTCTTTTTGCTGAGGAAGACTGGCCCTGAGCTAACAACCATGCCCATCTTCCTCTACTTTATATGTGGGACGCCTGCCACAGCGTGGCCTGCCAAGCAGTGCCATGTCCGCACCCGGGATCCTAACCCACAAACCCCGGGCCACCGAAGTGGAACATGGACACTTAATTGCTGCACCACTGGGCCAGCCATAATAAAATCTTTAAAAAAAAAAAAAAAAAAGAACATGAATGAATTTCACAGATACATTGTTGAATAAAAGGGGCCAGAACAAGAGTCATATTTTGTGAGGTTCAAAAACCAGAAAAACTAAGCTGTGGAAACAGAAATCAGAACAGTATCTAACTTTTGGAGGGGTATTCCTGGGTGGGGACATGGGGAAACCTGCCAGGACCATTCTATCTTGATCTGGGCGGTGTATACATAGATATATTCGCATGGAAAAATTCATCAAGCTGCACACTTAAGTTTTAACTCTACGTAAGAAAAGAATACATACTGAAAAGTACTAAAATAATATATAGGTAGGGAACATTTATATAATCTTAAGAGACAGGAGAAGTCTTCTTAAGCATGAGCCCAAAGATAAAAACTACAGACAGAAAAATTTAACTTCATAAAAATAAAAATATAAAACTTCTATGTGGCAAACAAGCCAGAAAAATTTATTTGCAATTTACATAACAAAGAATTAAAAATTTTAATACAGAAGAAGCACTCACAAATCAATAAAAAAAAGACAAGGGCATATCTAGGATATTTACAAAAAAATACAAACAGCCATTAAACATGTAAAAAAAGAGTACAAATTAAAACAAGATACTATTTTTCACTCATGAGATAGGCAAAAATGAAAAATACATACAGAATTGGTGTCAGTTTGGGAAATAGCATTCTCATATATTACTGGCGGAGCTATAGATTGACTCAACTTCTCTGAAGGGCATTTTTAAATATAGTACTTTTAAAAGACCAAAATGAGAGCATTTCCTTAATCAAGCAATTCCACAACTAAAAATTTATCTTAAGGAAAAAATATTACAAGCTTGTAAAATGTTTGTACAATGATGGTCAATGCCAAAAGCAACAAAATAAATTTGCATAAGTGACCCCATACAAATTTTGAAATAGCTACTCTTTATGCAGCACATATGAGCTAATTTTATACATTATCTCCTTTAGTTGTCACAAGAGCTCTGAGTTATTATATTATTTCCATTTTCCTCTGCAGATGAGAAAATTGTTGGTCAGAGAAATAACGAGATGTGCCCAAGCTCAACAATCTAGAAAGTGGCAGATACAGAATTAAAACAAACTTGGTCTGACTTCAACAGCCAAGGTTCTTTAATTTAGATTACATTTATTGACAAGGAAAAACATATATCACAGTGTTAAATAAAAATGCAGTTTATAGAACAGCTGCACAGTTTGATTCCATTTTGTAAAATACACACATACCTATAGATATTAGACATATAGATTTGCATGGGGAAAATTCTAGAAGGATATACATCAAAATGTTAATAAAAGTTATAACTCATGTTTGGGAAATTTTTTTTCTTCACGCTTGTTTTTGTCATTTTTCTACAATGATTACATTTAACTTATAAATGGAAAAACAAATCTACAAAACCAATGTCCTTTGAAGTTGCAAATCATAGCCTATCGCTTATTTTACTCCAAACCCAGAGTCCATTTGCACCACACATTTTCAAATACATAAATAAGGCAGATCATTCATATATTTGTGCTCAACAAACATGTCTTGAGCACCTACTATGTTCTAGGTACTCTTACATAAATGATTCTACCTCAGTGTACCTGGATTCTGCTCCAACTCTGGTTCCTAACCCTCACCCTCCCTTCTGCTATAAGGCCATTGGACAGTGTGATTTTAGAAGCCCTTCTCACTGCATCTCCTCTCCTCCCTCCTGCCCTCCAGCCGTATATGTCTAATTCAACAAGAAAACACCTTGAGGTTTGAGTTCCTACAGCCAAGACAGCCCCTCCCAGAAAGGATGGAAAACAGCTGCTCAGCTTGAGAGAGAGAAGAGGATGCTCCTGCATCAAGGAACTGCCAAGGGGTGTGTGAGGGTGGGGAGGAGGGCAAACTCTCCTCTCTATACTAATGGTGAGGAAAGATCCATATGACTTTGGTAACATGAGCGTTAGGAGGACTAAACTCTTCCTGGTACCAGTGAAAACAGCATCGGCACTGTTTGTAAAGGCAGGATCAAAAAATGGTTTAAAACAATTAAAAGAAAAAACACACCACCATACCAATTGGAGCCTAAAGAAGAATAACGTTTAGCAGGACCATTGAATAGCACAGAGCCCAGCACAGCCGACGAGGTGGGGATTTGACTTAACGACTGCAGTACCCTCTGTTCAGGCAGGGGCCCTCGTGTGGTGGGACGCGTGATCGATTATTGGCTAACTAACATTCTGTTGTCGATTAAAGGGGTGGTACCTGAACAAGCCGATTTCACACACACCGCTGTGAACCTCCGCAAGGAAACGAAGAGGGTGCCGCCCTAGAGCACCGATTCACCGGGCCCTGACGCCCAGCGTGTGGTCATCACCTCTCCCCTGTGCTCCCGTCCACACTGCGCGTCACCCGCCGCCGCACTCCAGGCTGCGCCCAGAGCGAGGCAGCCCTTCCCGGGGCATCAGCGGGCACCTCGTTCCCGGCCAGGCGGCCGCCCGCGCGCCCGGAAGAGACCGTGCGCTGAGGCCGGAACAAAGCCCGTGGGCATCATCGTCGCGCGCTCCCCGAAGGTCACCTAGACGACCCAGCCCCGCCCCACCCACAGCGTCTGGCAACCTAGACCACAGACCAGCCCGGAAGGAGGCAAAAAATGGAAGGGCCTCTAGAAGAGGATCCGGGGGAATCCTTGAGACCTGAAAGCACAGCCAAGTCCCCAAATGACAGCCACACAGGTGACCAGGAAGACAACTGGGAGAACCAGAACGAAGAGGAGGCAGATGACCAGACTACCCAAAGATTATCTCACCAGGCTGAACCCAGAATATTTGGCCAAACTGGCTACAAAGGAACTGAACACCTTGGGCGTAGAACATCTGATCAGGCTGACCTCGGAGCATCCAACTATGCTAACGTTGATGCTCATGGAGTGCCTGAGCAGGTTGACCGAAGAATGTCTGAAGGGACAGACAGCAAGGCATCTGGCCGAGCTGATTATGTAGAGACTGAACAGACTGACAGCCAGATGTCTGTTCCAGGTGAGCAAGGAACTTCTGAACAGATGGAACCAAGATTGTCCAGACAGACTGAAAGCAAAAGAGCCTCTGAACAGAGTGACCACAGAATGTCTGGCTGGGCCAACCAAAGCACCTCTGAACAGATTTACAGCAGATTGTCCGGCCTAGTTCAAGGAAAAATTCCTGCACAGATTGACCATACAATGCCTGCCCCGGTTGACCACAGAGCATCTATAAAGACTCACCACACAACGTTTGCCCAAGCTGTTCAGCTAGCAGAACAACAGGCTGCTGACCAAGCTGACAGCAGTGTTGATAACCTGACGGTTGACAGGGCTGACAACAGTGAATCTGACCAGGTTGACCACTTTATGAACGAGGGCGACAATGACACAGAAGCCAACCTATTTGACTATGGAGCACATGGCCAGTCTGACGACGAAATATTTACCCTATTTGGCCCCAGCAAGGAGAGCGAAGAGGCTGACTTCAGCATAGAACCCTGTACATTTGAGGCTAGCCAAACAGACCTCAGCAATTCCAAAATTTCAACTGAAACTGACACTGAAAATGTAACTGATATGCAAGTGTTCGACTCACTTGATGGCAGATTCATCAATAATTTCCAAGCAAAAGACCAAGCCCTTTCCCAAAGACTTCCCTCCATCTCATCCAAACCGGATTATGTCAGCAGACAGGAAACAACTCAAGCCATAGAAACCAAGCGTGTAGGTGAAAGGGATATTTGATACCCACTTCAGGGGTTGGAAGCCAAGCCAGGGGCCTGTGGTGGTGGTATGGGGGGTTGTGATATGTGTGACCTATAGATTTCAGGAAGGGCAAGAGAAGGGTGAGAAGTAAAGAAATTTGTTGCCTTCTCTGCTACCCTAAGGCCATTGAGGAAGGATCAAGGAACGAGGACTCAGGAGACCTGGGTTTCAAGTCCTAGTTCTGCTGCTGTCTCTGAGACACTAAGTCATTTCCCCTCCCTGGGCTTCTATCAAAGGAAAGGAATTTGGAGTGAATTGGAGGTGCCTGTGAAGGGAAAAGTATTTAAAGTAGATTGGAGATGCCTAGGTATCTCCCAGGACTTGAGATGCATTATATTGCCTGGAGGATCAGCCAGGTCTCTCAAAATAATGTGTCTTTTCTCCACCTCCTGGTGTTTGGATCCCATCAACACTCGATTCCACTGATAATAGCAACAAGAACGGCAGAATTCTTGGGGCTTTTCAATTTATTAAAGACTCTGTGGGGGGATATTTCCCTTTTAGGATGATGCTTCAGAATACCGGAAAGGAAAGCGTTCTCTTGTACACAGTCAAACTTACAGGAGGTGGTTCCCTCCTACAGTCTATGAAGATCCTTATCAAATTTCACTGCAATACGTGGAGAAGCACCACATTCTGCAAATATTCCAGGTAAATCTCTTAATCCCTTTCTTTATGAGTTTTACAGTAATTATAATGTAAAAAACAAATTTTTTTCAATAAGTATAAGAAAGAGCCTTTCATATGTGGAAGATAACAAATACATGGATAAAGAGAACAGATTAGTAGTTACCAGAGGGGATGGGGGTTGGGGGGGGGTGAGCGGAAGGAATAAAGGGGCACATATGTATGGTGATGGATAAAAATTAGACTACTGGGGGTGAGCATGAGTGTATTCAGGAATTGATAAAGAATAATGTACACCTGAAATTATACAATGTTATATACCATTATAATTCCAATAAAATTACTTGGGGGAAAAAAAAGAGCCTTTGCTGTAAAAGGGATATAATCTCATTGAGCAGTAAGTGCATTAGGATGTATTAACCAAAAGTAGTAAATGGTAAACACTAAATGGATGATATTTATCATAATATGAAGCCCTTCAGAAGGATTAGAGATCAAGTAGGTTGGTTGATAGGGAAAAATTTAGCTAAGGGTTAAAGTTTGAGCCAACTAGGAAGGAAGGACAAAATATTGGCAATTGAAAAGGAGAGAAAAAGGCTTTCTAGGCAGGAATATAATACTTTCAAAAGGTGACAAACCTGTGGCCATCTAAGAAACCACATTCTGTAGGAGAAAAAAGAAGTAGTTAAAAGTTGCTTCTAATTCTTGAAATTACAAATCTTGTTGACCTCAGGATATGGGGCTGGAACCTTCTTTAAAGTCTAACATTCCTTGGCCAATACAGAATTACAGGAGATTATCACTTTTATAAAATTTCTGTTGTTTGGCGAATTGTTTTTGTTTCCCCGACGTGTTTATTTTTATGATAATATTACTACCCAGAAAATCATATATACATATATAATAACATGTACATGTGAAGAAACTTGGTGGGGAGAAAGGAGTAAAATAAGAATGGTGCACCTCAAATGAAAACTTCTGAACTGGAAAAGTTGAAGTCTAAAGAAGAAGAGTGTAGAGGAAAGAGCACAAATTTTGCCATCTGTTGGCCCAAGGCTCCAACCTAATGTCGCCAGTTCTTATCTTTGCATGTGATTTGAGGAAAATTACTTAATTTCTGTGACTCTCAGTTTCCTCATATAAAATAGGTACAAGTGATATTTACTACATTAATTCTGCTCCATGCCTTTTCCTTCTTAAAATGTCCTTTTGTGGCGGAGGGATAATGGCTGGATTTTCTAGCTTTAATCAAAGAACTACTAATTATTAAACTGACAGATGAAAGCTGTTGAAGAAAGTAGAATTCTAATGACTTTATAAATGATTTTCTTCATCTCTCAAGGAAAAACAATGCTTATGCATGCAATGTCGTTATAAGAGAAATTAGTTCTCAAATGTGTGTTCAGTAGAAACATATGTGAAATACATAATTGGTGGGGGTGGATTAAACCGACTTCAATATCTTATTTCTGAAAGCCCCATTGTTATTCCCTGCAAATGAGAATTCTGTTTACTTTATTATAATTTGGGGGGTTATTCAACAACAACAAAAGTTTGGAAGTGAATCTCTCACGTTTTATATATGCTTTCTCATTTATTATTACAAACACTGAATATCATTTTCACCATAAGGAAAGTTCTATGTAAAATCATATACTAGCGTTTAAAAAATTTTATTCAAAATACTTTCCTTTGACTTTTCTTCAAAGCCAATAATTTATTGATTTCTCAGTCTGGCAAGATCATAATTCTCAAAACAGTAACTTTCTCCAAAACTTTCTCACTACCTCTTTCATCTTGGAAACTAGAAGAGTATCCATTGCTCCTTATTACTGAATTTTCATTTTTCCAAACTTTACCTTAATTTGCCTAATTTTATAAGTAGTAAGAAAGTAATTTGTCACTTTGTGGAGATCTGTGAATTTCTGTAAGCCACTGTGGTACACGTTAGGTTAGTACGGAAGATGCCTTCAGGTGTAACCTGACCACATCGCCAGCTCAACTCGGAACCATAATGTGGCGCCTTTCTCTCTCTCTCTCTCTCTCAGCAGATCACTGAAAACTTAGTCTATGAGAAACCAGAGGACCCCCTGAGATTTATGCTGAGCCAGGTATGGAGTAGGAGAGAAAGAACAACCTTTCTTATTCTGTTGATTGTAAAGTATAGCACACATACAGGTGTATAAGCCAAGCATGTACAGCTCAGTGAATTATCATGAAGTGAGCATACCTGTTGCTACCAGTCAAGTTAAAAAATTAAAACATCGCCAGCATCCTAGAAACCCCCTTCTTTTCCCTCACAGTCATTACTCTCCACAAAGGGACTATGATTCTGACATTTATGATAATGGCTTCCTCACTTTATAATTTTACCACTAAACATGAATCGTGAAACACTTTGTTAGGTTTGTCAGCTTTTTCAATTTCATATAAAGGATTTATTTCGCTCAAAATTATGTCTATCAGCAAAATTATGTCTTGCTCAAAATCCGTGCTGTTATGTGTGGCTGTAGTTCATTGTCATTGCTGTATAGTATTCACTGCATGAAAGGCCACAGTTTATGCATTCTATGATGAATGTGGACATTCAAGTTGTTTCCAGCTAGTACAATAATTTTCTTATGAGCTTTCATGTATATGTCTCTTGGTGCACATATATGTACATTTTCCTTGAGTACATACCCAGACAGTGATTGCTGGGTCATAAGATATGTGTTTGCTCAGCTCTAGTAGATTATTTCAAACAATTTTCCAAAGTGATTGTACCAGTTTACGCTCTCAGCAGTAGTGTATATTAGAGTTCCAGTTGTTTTACATCCTTCCCACTTATATCCAACAGTTAGTATTATCCGTCTTTTTAGCATTAGCGATTTTTTTTGGTGGATAATAATAAATCATTGCAGTTTCAATTTGCTTTTTCCTGATTCCTAAGGCAGTTGTATATCTTCTCATTTGTTTATTGGCCATTTGGAAATACTTCTTTTTCTATTGTATTGTTTGTCATTTTTTACTCCTCTGTAACAGTTTTCTGTATATTCTGGTTATCAGCTCTTTGTTGATTGTGTTTGTTGCAGGTATCTTTTTCCGCTTTCTCCTTTCCCTTTTTATCTCTTAAAGGCACCTTTTGATGAACAAAAATTCTTAATTTTGATGTCAAATTTAACAGTCTTTTTATTTCTCATTAGTGCTTCTGGTGTCCTATTTTACAAGTCTCTCTTAGCCCAGGTTCCTCACCATAGTCCCCTGTATCATCTAGTAGAAGTTTGTCTGTCGGGTTTTTTCTTTTGCTTTTTAATTTTGTTTGTTGCCTTTTATATTATATCCAATCTATCTGGAATTGATTCTGTGTAGGGGGTGAGGTGGGGTCAAGTTCCATTTTCTTCCAGTTGACCAAGGACCTTATATTAAAAAAACTGTACCTTGCACACTGCCCTTTACTTGATTCCTACAGTGTATTTGTCTATCCTTGCTCAAACACAGACTGTCTTAAATAGTATGCCTTACAACAAGACCACATCCATGAGAGCAAGTCCTCATGTCTTATTCTTCTTTAAAAATATCTTGGGGGTCCGCCCCATGGCCAAGTGGTTAAGTTCATGTGCTCCGCTTCCTTAGCCCAGGATTTCGCCTGTTCGGATCGTGGGCACTGACCTAGCACCGCTCATATAGCCATGCTGACGTGACGTCCCACATGCCACAACTAGAAGGACCCACAACTAAAAAGTATACAACTATGTACTGGGGGGCTTTGGTGAGAAGAAGGAAAAATAAAAACTATATATATATATATATATATATATATCTTGGGTGTTCTTAGGCCTGGGCGTTTATATATCAGTATTTAGAATTATGTGTCAAGTTGCACAAGCACACACACACATGTGCACACACAGGCACAAAAGCATACACTGGGGGGATTTTTATTGGGATTGCACTGAATCCGTAGATCAATTTGGGGAGAAGTGACAGCTTGAAACGGTGAGTATTTCCAATTCTTTATCCTCTCCATTTGTCTAGGTCTTTAATTTCTCCCAGTACAGTTATTATTTGCATAAAGGTTTTACATATCTTTTGATGCACTCATCCATAGGTATTTTATAACTTTGATGCTATTGTAAATAGAAACTTTTAAAGTTTCACATTCTAATTGTTGGCATATAAACATACATCTAATTTTTATTAATTTTATATCCAGCCACTTTACTAGACTCAACTTATTAATTCTAATCATGTATTTGTAGATACTTTGTATTTGTAGATATATATTTATATATATAAAATATATATTCTACATGTACAATCATATCACTTGCAAGTAGTGACAGTTTTATTTGACCTTTCCAATCCTTATTCTTTTTTCCTCCCTTGTCATATCACATGTACTGTTTATCTTCTCTTTGCCCCTTCAGATCCACCTTCCTCTCTTCTCTACCCTACACAGAAGCTAATCTGTTTGGACTAGATCAGTAGGCTCTCCTTCCTTCTGACTTCCAGTTGGTTTAAGGTGATGGGAAACGCTGAAGGAAGACTGGAAGGAGGAAGGACGGTGAGATTAGGTTTATTTCCCTGTCCTCTTCCCTTATGATCTGCCTGTCTTGAGTTGTCTGGAAGTGACGCCTCCTCTCAAGGCATCTTACTTTACATGACTCTTTGCTTCTGAATTCCATAATGTTCCCTCCTCCTGACCTTAAGTCCTAAGGTTAGGTCAACTTTTGCTAGCTTTGGATTATTGCATTATCTCCTGTGACTCCCCTATGCCTCATTCTTTTTAAATGGCCTCTTTTTGAATTAACCCTCATTGAATTCTTCTATTTTAAATGTGCCCTCTGTTTCCTGGATCTCCAGTAGAATTAATGTTGAGTAGATGTAGCTACAGTGGTTCACCTTGCTGGCTCTTGATGTTTAAAAAAAAAAATTTTCCCATTTAACCATTAAGTATGATGTTTGCTGTGTTTTACAGAAACTATTAATCATGTTAAGGAAGTTCTCTTCTAGTCTGTTTTCTGAGGGGTTTTTTTTTATTATGAATCATTAAATTTTATTGTTATTTTTCTATATCTATTGAAATGATTGTATAATTTTTCTCCCTTATTCTGGTAATGTGGTAAAATATCCTTATTTTTCATTTTAAAAACTTTTCAAGGGTACATACAGAAAATTGTGCAGATCAAAACTGTACAATTTGAGTAATTGTCACTACCTGAACAGACTCATGAAACCACCAGTTAAGAGAGAGAATGTTACAGGCTCCTCGGAATCTCACGTAGTACCTATTTCCAATCATTACCCTTTCTCCACCACAAAACAACCACTCTTCTGACTTCTAGATTAGTTTGGCTTTTTTAGATTTTATATAAATGGAGTCAGATAATCTGTACTATTTGGGGGCTGTCTTCTTTCGATTGACATTATGTTTGTGAGATTCCTTCATCTTGTGCGTATTATTCATTCCTTTTCATTTCTGTATTCTCTGTTCCGAATCAGACATTTGGTGGTTTCCGATTTTCAGTTGTTATGAATATCGCTGCAGTGAACATTCATGTGCTTTTCTCTTGGTGCATATGTGCGTGCATTTCTATTGGGTTCATACCTAGAAATGGAATTGCTAAGTCATAGGGTATTGACATAAGTTCAGCTTTAAAAGATGGCTGCGAAAAAGTTTTCCAAAGTATTTGGACCAGTTTACACTCCCACCTAAAGTGGCATTGTTGTAGTTTTCTTCATGTTTCTTGTGCTGTGGTACTTTGAATTTCTAGGAACTATGGGCTTACAGTTTTTATCATATTTGGAAATTTGTTAGTCGCTATTTCTTCAAACACTTTTATGTCCCAGCTCCCTCCTCTGGGAACTCCAATTACACATATACTGGGCCACTTGAAGTAGGCTCGCAACTCACTGATGCTCTGTTCATTTTTTTTTAATTCTTTTTTCCTTTCTGTATATCATTTTGGATACTATCTGTTGTTATGTCTTCCGGTTTACTAATCTTTTCTTCTGCAACATCTAAAGTACCATTAATAATAAAGTGCCAATGTATTTTTCATTGTGTACATTATAATTTTTGTAGTTTTCATTCCTAGAAGTTTAGCTTGTGCTAGAATGTTGATATCTCTACTTTACTTTTTGAACATAGAGAATACACTTAAAATGGTTTTTTAAATCTTCTTCTTTATATGCTTGGTACTATTTTTTAATTGAGATATAATTGACATATTGTATTAGTTTTAGGTGTACACCTGGTAATTTTTGATTGGTGCAAGATGTTATGACTTTAACCTTGGTAGGTGCTGGAGTTTTTTTGTATTCTTATAAGTATTCTTGAGCTTTATTTTGGGACCCAGATAATTTACTCAGAAACAGTTTGATCCTTTCAGATTTTGCTTTTGAGATTGTTTTAGAGAGGAGCAGAGCAGTGTTCAGTCTGTGGCTAATTATTCCCCACTACTGAGGCAAGACCCTTTGAGTACTTTCCCCAATGTCCAGGATTCATGAGGTTCTCCAGTTTAACTGGTGCTAATAGGCACTGTTCCTGGTTGGGTCTTTCCATGGCCTCAAGTAGTTTCCTCAGACCCATGCACTGATCTGTACACAGGGGGTTACTTGAAGGGCACCTGCTGCGGATTTCCAGAGTTCTTTCTCTGCAGTTCTCTCCTCTCCAGCACTCTGCCCTGTGAACAATAGCTGCCGTGGTTTCCCCAGGCTCTCGGGTCCATCTCTTCAGCTAGGGGTCTGCAGGGTTCCTCTTGGGTTCTCTTTATCTACACTGAGGCCAGGAAATATTCTGAAGAGAGTAAGCTGGAGCAATCATAAGTCTCATTTCATTTCTTTCCTGTTTCTCAGAGAGCACTGTCCTTTGTTGCCTGATATCCATTGCCTTAAAAGCAATTGTTTCTAGTCTGTTGTCTGTTTTTCAGCTGTTTCAGACAGCAAAAAACGTGGTCACCATTAGAAGAAACAGAAGCTCCAAAACTTTGTGTTTTAATGCTTTTCATCTGTTTTGAAAATTTTTCAGCCACTAGTTTTTCAAATGTGGTTTCTATCCCCTTTTTTCTCTCTTCTCCTTCAGGGAACAGAATATTTGCTGGGAGTTCCTTTTTGTTATTTACTTTTA